ATAGTTAGTGATGTAACCGTACTTGAAAGTAAGCCTCTTCCCCTAGGGACCAGCACCCAGTTAGAAGAACTAGTGACACGTACCCAAGCCTTAGAACTGGGAAAGGGAAAAAGAATAAATATGTATACAGATAGAAGTATACTTATCTAATCCTACATGCCCATGCTGCAATATGGAAAGAAAGGGAGTTCCTAACCTCTGGGGGAACACCCATTAAATGCCACAAGGAAATCATGGAGTTATTGCACGCGGTGCAAAAACCCAAGGAGGTGGCAGTCTTACACTGCTGAAGCCATCAGAAAGGGGAAGGAGAGGGGAGAACAGCAGCCTAAGTGGCTAGCAGAGGCAGGCACAGACCGGCAAAAAGGAAAGAAAAAGAGAAAGTCAGAGAGAGAGACAGAGAGAGGAAGAGACAGAGACAAAGAGGGAGTCAGAAAGAGGCAAAGAAGTCAAAGAGAAAGAAAGGGAGATGGAAGTAGTAAAGAAAAAACAGTGTGCCCTATTCCTTTAAGAGCCAGGGTACATTTAAAATCTATAATTGATAATTGAAGGTCTTCTCTGTAACCCTATAACACAACAATATCACCTTGTCAGTGTAAACAAGGGCGTAACCTGAAAGCACTGAGGCCACTGACAACCCGAAGCCTTCCAATCAAAAATCCTTAACCCAGCAGGTTTCCTAACAGGGGATCTAAATCTTAATTAATTACCCATACAAAGGTCCAACCAGATCTAGGAGGAACTCCCTTCAGGACAGGAGGATAGATGGTTCCTCCCCTGGCAATTAAGGAAAAAAGACACAATGGGTATTCAGTAAATAAGGAAACTCTTGTAGAAGCAGAGTTAGGAAAATTGCCTGGCAATTGGTCTACTCAAATGTGCCAGTTGTTTGTACTCAGCCAAACCTTAAAGTACTTACAGAATCAGGAAGGAGACATCTATACCAATTGTAAGTTAATATGGGCTGAACAAGGTCTTATTAACAGCAAAGAATAATTGAAATCCCAAACTTACAAGGTTTTCAACAAAAGTAAAGTTCGCTAAAAGTGAACAGTGTAAACGTATATTATCCTAACTTCTAATCTTGTGGAAATCAGACCCTATCAGTACCCCTCAAAGCTCAAGTCTGTCAGCGCAGAGCCATACAACTAATACCTCTACTTATAGAGTTAGGGATGGCGACTGCTACAGGAACCAGAATAGCCAGTTTATCTACTTCATTATCCTACTACCACACACTCTCAAAGGATTTCTCAGACAGTTTGCAAGAAGTAACGAAATCTATCCTTACTCTAAATCCCAAATAGACTTTTTGGCAGCAGTGACTCTCCAAAACCGCTGAGGCCTAGACACCCTCACTGCTGAGAAAGGAGGACTCTGCACCTTCTTAGGGGAAGAGTGTTGTTTTTACACTAACCAGTCAGGGATAGTACAAGATGCTGCCCGGCAATACAGGAAAAAGCTTCTGAAATCAGACAACACCTTTCAAAGTCTTATACCAACCTCTGGAGTTGGGCAGCATGGCTTCTCCCCTTTCTAGGTCCCATGGCAGCCATCTTGCTGTTACACACCTGGGACCCTGTATTTTTAACCTCGTCAAATTTGTTTCCTCTAGAATCGAGGCCATCAAGCTACAGATGGTCTTAGAAATGGAACCCCAAATGAGCTCAACTAACAACTTCTACCGAGGACCCCTGGACCGAACTGCTGGCCCTTCCACTGGCCTAAAGAGTTCCTCTGGAGAACACTACAACTGCAGGGCCCCTTCTTCACCCCAATCCAGCAGGAATTAGCTAAAGCGGTCATCACCCAATTCCCAACAGCAGTTGGGGTGTCCTGTTTAGAGTGGGGATTGAAAGGTGACAAGGTGCTAGCAGCCCTCGCTTGCTCTCCACGCCTTCTCCGCCTCGGCATCTGCTCTGGCCGCGCTCCAGGAGCCCTTCAGCCCACTGCAGCACTATAAGGGTCCCTCTCCAGGGCTAGGAAAGGCCGGAGCCGGCTCCCTCTGCTCACAGGGAAGTGGGAAGAAAGAGGTGCGGGCGGGAGCTGGGGTTGTGTGTGGCCCTTGTGGGCCAGCCTGGATTCCAGGTGAGTGTGGGCTCAACAAGCCCAGCACTTGGCCCTGGCCAGCGAGTGCTGGGCTTGATCGGAGGCTGAATCCCATGTGTGGACCCCCTTTCCCTCTTTGTGGGATCGTTGGCCACAATAGCAGGTCTCCATCTCTTTCTCGCTTCCCTTCTTTTCCTCTTGATTGTCTGGGATGAGTTCCCTCTGGGCTGCTGGAATGCCCCAGCTTAGGTGCCACAAAACCCCCACAGTGAGTGCCAGTGAGAAGTGAAGCCAGCTTGGCTTCTGGGTGCATGGGTACTTGGAGAACTTTTCTGTCTAGCTAAAGGATTGTAAACGCACCAATCAGCACTCTGTAAAAATGGACCAATTAGCGCTCTGTAAAATGGACCAATCAGCGCTCTGTAAAATGGACCATTGGTGGGACATGGGTGGGGCCAAATAAGGGAATAAAAGCTGGCCACCTGGGCCAGCAGCAGCAATCTACTTGGGTTGCCTTTCACACCATGGAAGCTTTGTTCTTTTGCTCTTCACAATAAATCTTGCTGCTGCTCACTCTTTGGGTTCACACTCCTTTATGAGCTGTAACACTCACCGCGAGGGTCTGTGGCTTCATTCCTGAAGACAGCAGGACCACCAGCCCACCAGAAGGAGGAAATTCCAACACATCTGAACATCTGAAGGAACAGACTCCAGACGCACCATCTTTAAGAACTGTAACACTCACTGCCAAGGTCTGCAGCTTCACTCCTTAAGTCAGGGAAACCACGAACCCACCCGAAGGAAGAAAGTCTGGACACACCTGAACATCTGAAGGAATAAATTCTGGACACACTATCTTTCGGAGCTATAACACTCACCGTGAGGGTCACTGATTTCATTGTTGAAGTCAGCAAGACCAAGAACCCAACGGAAGAAACCAATTCCGGACGCACCGCCCTCCCCACTCAACTGAACAGCTCTCAGTACCTCAAATTCATCATGCTCCAGACTTTTGCTCATGTGGTTCCTTCATTTCCAACATTCCCACTTTTCCAACATTGGCTTTCCCTTAGCTCATCTCCAACATTGACCTTCCCTTAGCTCAACTGCTAAGGTCTTGCGTCCAGGTGCCACCTCTTTTGCCTTCTTCAGGAAGCTTTTTTTTTTTTTTTTTTGAGACAGGGTTTCACTCTGTTGCCCAGGTTGGAATGCAGTGACACACTCACAGCTCATTGCAGCCTCAATCTCCCAGCTCTGCCAGTAAACAGATGGGCCTCTCTGGACCCCAGTTTCCAGAAGTTGAACATCAAGACAATAGCTCTCAATTCCCTACATTTGTTAGGATTGTATGAGGGGTCCTTCCAGCGCTGTCCTAGTATGGTGCTTGGCTAATGGAAAACCAATCTCTGTAACTTGGACTAGTTTTATTCCCACCTTATTTGGGAATTATAGGAATGTAAAGTTATAAGACTGTAAAAATATAAAGTTAACAATCTGACCCTCACTTGGGAATTACAAAATTACAATCTGATATCCACTTTACTTGGAAATTATGGTCAGCCCTCTGTATCCTCAATCAACCTGGGACTGACAATATTTGAAAAAATTAAAAATAATCATAGAAATAAGAAAGTACAGTGTAACATCTATTTACATAGCATTTACATTGTATTAGGTATTATAAGTACAGCAGGTCCTGGAATAACATCATTTCATCATTTTGCTCAGTGGTTTTCTTATAATGATGAGGAAAAAAATAGATTTCTGGTTGGGTCCACTGTCACGTTTTGTCCATGTCTGTGTGGATTTTCTCTCTGTCTTCCGGTCTCCTGTCACATCCCAAAGCCGTGCAGTGCACTTCAGGTGAAATTGCATCTACATGGTCCGAGTGTGAGCGTGGGTGTGTGTGAGCGCACCCTGTGAGGCATGGTGTCCTAGCCTGCCTGGTGCCCTGAGTTGGAATAAGCCGGTAAAAATCATCTCACTTTTATTAATCTTTATTTTTCTCTAAGCAGGGGGATAGGGAGTGCTTTTTAAAAAGAAAAACTTTTTTTTTTTCTTTGAGACGAAGCTGTGCTCTGTCCTCCAGGCTAGAGTACAGTGGCATGATCTTGGCTCACTGCAACCTCTGTCTCCTGGGTTCAAGCGATTCTCCTGCCTCAGCCTCCCAAGTAGCTGGGAATACAGGCACGCGCCACCACACCCAGCCAATTTTCTGTATTTTCAGTTGCGATGGGGTTTCACCATGTTGGCCAAGCTGGTCTTGAACTCCTGGCCTCAAGTGATCCGCCGACCTCAGCCTCCCAAAGTGCTGGGGTTATAGGCGTGAGCCAAAAACCTTTCTTAAATGTATGCATGGCTCACACTTATTTCAATGTTTAATATTAGAAGGCTTTCGGTCTTTATTTAGAAGTTTAGGGGCGATTTTGTGACCACAGATATGTTGTAGGAACTTCATTCATATCAATTAGCTTGTGGTCAAACTGGTTTCCTTACAGTCATTTGGCTTAAAGTTTCAGTTTCCAAGAACCCCTCCACAATGTTAGGTGAGGACTTAGGGAATATAGGTGATATGCAAATACTTTTTTTTTTGTTTTTTTCACCAAGTACTTGAGCATCTGTGGACGTGGTTCCCCTGGAGGGGCCCTAGAACCAATCAGGACTATAAAATCCTTCTAAGGTTTTAAGAAGAGCATTGTTACCTCTGTGCTCTGACGAGAGAGAGCACTGACGAAGCCCCGCAAGCTCACCGAGATTAAGTGCCCCTACCTAAGGTTGCAAAGCGTCTTATCCTCAGGCCACCTCCAGTACAGTAAATCCAAGCCCTTCCGTCTAAACTTGCCGCCCTGAGTACCAAGGGTCACCTCGGCCTTTCAGGCTGAAGGGAGGGAGGCAAAGTCTCAGGGCAGAGTCTGAGCCCCATTCCGCACCCCACCCTCTGTCTGGTACAGCCAACCAAACCAAAGTGCCCCAAGCCGTGACATCCCGGCCGGCGGCTCTCAGGTCCCCGCCCTCCGCACGTCACGGCCGCCGGGTGCAGTGCCCCCTAGGGGTCCCTACGGACGAGGAGGAAGCGCCAGGTTCTTCCAGC